CTTTCCGCAAGTATTCGCGAATATATATATATATATATATAATTATAATTATATAATTATATAATATATATATAATTATAATTATATAATTATATAATATATATAATTATAATTATATAATAATATAATATGTATCATAATATAATTATATATTTTTTCAATGTGATATATATGTACATATATATATATACAATAAATTGTACAGTCTCCCTATTCATAACTAAATCCATAGATGTAGTCGTCGTGGAAGGTGCCGAAGAATTAATATTCGCGAAATTAATTGTAATACAATGCATGTATGCATAAGCCGCAGCTAACTGCAATTCGCCACTATCTTCGAAAAATGGAAACGTATCGCTGACGATTAACGCAGACGTTTCTGCGCGCTGGGTCACAATTATCTAACACGACGATAACACCGAGCACTGAAAGAATATGAACGGAAGAAAGCTAATTATTACTCGATAATTTTGGCATAAAAAACACAAACGCGCATAGGACAAGTAATATGCAACAATAAATTCTTTCGGCGCGCAACTTCGATGGCGTGCGTGCGATTGTCATTTATTTTCAAATCGGTACTCGAAGTTAGCAACGCAAGTGCATTTGCATTCCATAAATTAGATAGCTACTGACTCACGTGATAGGACATGATTGATCGCAATATCTTTTAAAACGTAATACATAACTCGTTTCACACTGTATCGAATCACTTAAGTTTGCTTGCGAAGCTGGATGAATTATTTTGAGACGCGATGAGTAGATAAATTTTGAACAAGATTGGTAGCTTTTTAACCTGCAATGGAAATTTAAAAAATACGCTTAAAATATCGCGATGATCAAATGGCTTTCAAACTGTTGAAAGCCATTCATGTACATTGTTTCATGACAACAATAAGAGTGGATCTACTCGAATTTTGTCTATGTCTTCCATGATAACACATGGTGTCTCAAAATTATTGTACAAGCCAGAAATGAGGGATTCTTCAGGTCATTTGAAGTAACTTTTTCCTTAGCGAAAATGCAACCCGTAGCTTCGTTTACGAGTTATTGACAAAAAACAGTGACCAATCGGAGAGCGGGCGCGGCCGTCGATCCGCCTTTGCGACCAATGCCGCGTCGTGCTGGTAGAGGTCGCGAGTTTGCGTTAATAATTCGTAAACGAAGCCGCGTATTGTATTTTCGCTAAGGAGAAAGTTACTTCAAATGACCCCAGGAACCCCTCATTTCTTGCTTGTACAATAATTTTGGGACACAAATTAGTCCCCACGATTTCTCAGCCCCTTCCGATGGCTTGACAAAAACATGTTTCTTACCAAAGTTAATTAGTATTTAGCGACAAGAAATTGCAATTGTTTAAATTTAAAAACGAATCAATTTTCGACAAAAAAGCAAATATGTTTTTCATTGTAGTTCATATGTTGTGTCCTTGAGTGAATTTCATTTATAGATCATTGTATTTGTCTTGAAAGGCCTGATCCGAACGTGAATAAAAAATTAGGTCGTCACATTAAAAAAAACAGGTTTGACCTTCATATGTCCTCTACGCCTCCACCTATAAAAAAATTGTTGACATCGTACAATGCACCGCTTGAAATCAAACATCTTTTGTCTGACACTTCTTTTTCCATTGCCAAAAACAAGCGAGTTATTCAGATGTCTCATTTTAAATGCTCCACTCTATATACAGGATGTCCCAAAAAATATGGGAAATGTATTTATATATTAAATATGTATTTTCGGGAAATGAGGGATTCCTGAGGTTATTTGAAGTAACTTTTCCCTTAGCGAAAATGTAATCCACGGCTTCGTTTATGAATTATTAACGAAAAACAGTGACCAATGAGAGGCGAACTCGACTGGCGCCCCGCCCTCGCGACCTCTGTCGCTGCGTCAAACAACCAGCGTGACGCGACACTGGTCGCAACCGCGGAGCGCCGGCTGCGCTCGCTCTTCGATTGGCCTCGTCCGCTCGTTGACTCGAACATCTCGCGCCAGCTTCCCATTGGTCGCTGCAGATGCACTTTCGCTAAGGAAGAAGTTACTTTAAATGACCTCCGGATTACGAAATATTGTTAAGAAAAAAACATTGTTACTATAAGAATAAGAAAGTTGAAAAAAAACATCGCTTTTTAATTTTGAAAACAATTATTATAACAGAGTTATAATAAAGTCCGTTTTAAAAGATGTACAAATACTTTGTACACCGACTGTATTTATTCGTTGCATAAAGTATCTGATTTGGATTAGCAACGTATTGTGGGATTTTACAAAAAAGTTTTAAACATCGTACGATAAATAAAATAATCCTCGAAGTTGTTGGAAGCTATAAAAGTGTCGCGTCACCCAAGTGACGAAAGTTAAAAATTAAAAACTATTAGCGCATATCTACAAGGTGACAGGTGCTCGAATAATTGTAGTAGGAAGCAATCGATTCTCGTGTGTACATGGTTTTCGTTTAACCATTAATTCTATCGAGCCGAGCATAACTCATCGATTAAAAAGGATCAATGGCTTAGCATAATGCCGAGGATCACGGACATCGGTATACATATTTCGTGCTTCTTATTCGATTAAATATAAACGATTGCATATTTAATGGCACGCGGGGAACTGCATGCTCGGCATCGTCGCGGCCCTCTTTGCATATTCATTCATTCGATGGTCGGCTCGGAAGTAACGTTCCGAATTTCAAATTTCAAATTAAATTTAGAATACTCTACAGGTAGCCGGTTCGTTCGATCGATCGCCACGCGTAGATTTGTTTTTCTCGTCGAGCAGCCTCGTTGCATGTATTTAATTTATTTTACCGGAGGCTAATAATAAATCGAACATCGCCTGTTACACTGAATTTAATGACGCAAACAGCGATTAACGGATATTTTTGACCGTTGTAGTTGAAAGCAGTGGTCGTCGATAATGATCTCACCGTTCTCTGTGAAACCAGCGTACAATTCGACAATGATCTGCCGGAATTTAGGTATGTTTACTATTATCTCCTAATACGATTTTCTATGTTAAACATATCAAATATCGTCGTCATATTATCTCAACAATCTCTTTCATTTTATTTATTATATTTGCTTCATTAACAAACATCGCTCAGGAAATATAGGATTGAATACTAAACTCTATTAAGAAATAAGACGACCTCGATAATTTCAATGCGTTAATACGTATAATGTCGAATTTTGGATACACAACCTATAGCAGAAAGTTCCCGATCATATACACTAATATAAAATTTACAAATAGTATTCGCATTTTGGAGTTATAAAATGTTTTCATACGCAGTTATAATAAATAATAAATACAACATAACACAATCTTCCATTTATTATTTAAAAAAAACCACGGAGAAAACAGAATGTTATGTGGAAAAAGTTTCGGATTAGTACGAATGTTGGAAAAAGCTTACCGGTCCACTGTTCACTTATTTATTTCGATGTTACTCGCCATATGTTTTTAACAGTTGCACGCAATTTTCTATCGTCTTTTCTAGGATAAGTGTGGGTATCACTGCGGACATCCCAAATACTGTAGTATTTTATAAAAGTAATAAAATCTAACATTTTATAGTATGTAATCATCTAAAAATGAATCTCATAATTTTTTACGTGTTCAATATTGATAATTTATGATATACAAGTAACAGCAATCGAAGTTTGAATTCATTTATTGACTTTTGATATTCGGGAGCTTATAAAAACGTTGAGTCTTATGAAATACTCTGTGAACGCTGATTCGAAAGGCATTTATATATTTTAGTAATTAATAGTAAACTATTCATTTTAGCGTTATTTTTAGATATGTGCAAATCGATGTACACTGTCATTATCATCTATCCTCAAATATTATTTACTCACACAGTATCCGTCGCATAGTTTTTTACCATGCGTGAACATTACTGCGGCGCAAAATATCAAACGATATAAAGAAAAGGAAAAATGTAAGATTATGCTACCTTAAGGAAAACGTAGCGTTAGCCTTGCAAGAAATTCGTGGAGGTAACTCTATTGCACAAATATCTCGGAAATATAACATTCTAGAATAACGCAATAATCCAAACATCCACAGTATTTAACTCGCAGTAATAGATACATAACCGCATTAATATTTTAATGAAATTTATGCTTTCAGAGGTCCAATATTTTGAGAAAAGAATATGTTACAGAATAATAAGTATAGCTCAAGTTGTCAATTTATTGGTATAAAAGGTCTCACTTTTCTTACAATTAGATACACTGCCTGTTTCATTATACTTGTTTTTATACCACTTATCACTACATCCCATCCTTCTTTAACTGTTACCTTATTTGAGGAGTTCGATTACTCTTAACTTTAAATTGTTCGAATACAACTTACACGATGGCATATTGCACACGTTCGTCTTACTTACACAATGACCGAAATGTTTTGTATTTCAGATGCCTCAGCGTATGTTTACATTTTCGCAGGTGCGGGTTGTGTTTACGTTTGCTTCCCCCGCTGGAGACATTCATAGAGCTAGTTATTTGAACCATGGTCGGAAACCTTTTTCCAACATTTGTACTGATCGGAAAGATTTTATCACATAACATTTTGTTTTCTCTGTGGTTTATCTTTGATAACTAATGAAAAATTGCGTTGTTTTGTATTTATTTCCTTTATTTTACTCCATTCGTCTCACCCGCATGAAAGAACATTTTATAACTCGAAAACGCGAATCATTTGCAAATTTTGTATAAGTTTGTATGTCCAGTAACTTTTTGCCAGGGTTTATTTGTAGCATTTTTAACAGTCTGATATAGAATGTTCGATGGCACATGAATCACTTAATTTGCTCGAGAAAAAAAATATGATAGAATTTATCGCGTTTATAGCAAAAATGAGTAGACAAATACGAAACTGTGAGAATAATCGAAGAATTTAGGAGAATAAACGTGTTATTTAATGCAATTGATAAAGAAACTTTGATCGTAATCGTAATTGAAAATTATATACTATTTTGTATTATGACTGTTCTTAAGTAAGTTCCATCGTTTTTAGAACGTACGGAGGGGTCATTCAGAAAAAAGAAGAGCCACACGTAGTGGTCGCCCCCACTTTGATGTGGGTTAAGGCTTTGGACATGATCCTTGATAAATTACGTGTCTGCGGCGTTGATTTCAGTAAAGTGGCCGCTATTTCCGGATGCGCACAGGTAAATAACTCACAATCACATCGGGACACCCAGTCAATGAACGACATTGTCATTGTACGAGACTCATAAAAAAATACGAACCTCTTCTTGGTGTACAGCCAATCGTTCCAAAACTTCTTTCAGAAATTCTCGACTTATTTTCCTACGGAGAACAATTACTGTTAATTTTACCGTTATCTTTTTTGTACCAACAATAGGTAACGACGATGTCCGGATACCTTTCAAAACGCAATAACTGTTTTTTCAATTGATCCAAAGGATTTAAATTTTTTTAGACGTTAGATTGGCTAGTTTACCATACAGCGAATAGACAAATTTTTGCTAAAATTGCAACTGGTTGGAATGACAAAAAAAGAAAAATATTAATTTATCATCATTTTTATCCGAGCGAAGAACGAAAATTTAAAGAATGCGTTTCGCAAGTTTCAGTCATTTATATGTGCATGCTGAGAATTTCATTGAAGTCGGTTGACGCAAAGTCAAGCTCTATTCTAGACTTTCACTGTATTTAATGGTTTGTAGTTTGTAATAATGTTCTACCGTAACCAAGATTTACTCTTTGTTATTTTTTTGTTGTACCAATTAATTGCGTTTTTTTTTAAAAAAAAAACCTCGTTTAGACATAGACTAGTAAACTAGTCAAAAGAATTGAACTTTTTTGGTTCAATTCTGAAGAAGTTAATGTGCTTTAAAAGGGTGTCCAGATATTATCGTTACACATTGCATACGTTTTACAGTTATGTTTCTGTTAATGAGAAAGTAATAAGGTAGCTAAAAGAGTTTGAAAATAACGGGAAAAAGGTGAAAATCAAAGGAAAGAAAATGCAATTTAATAACAAGGAAAGTAGATCAATAATCGAAGGTAAGAGGTGTATACAGGGTGTCCCATAACTATATTAACACCCGGATTCCTGAAGTCATTTAAAGTAACTTTTTCCTTAGCGAGAGTGCAATCCGTGGCTTCGTTTACGAGTTATTAACGAAAAACACGGACCAATGAGAGTTCGCGACGGCCGCGCTCGCTCTCCGATTGAAGAGCCCAGCTGGCGCTAGGCAGCCAAGCCAATCAGCGGAACTGGGCTTCGTCCAACAAGACTCGACCACCTTGCGCCAGCTGGGCTCGCCTCTCACTGGTCACTATTTTTCGTTAATAACCTACTATATAACTATTTATATTTATTTAATATTATATTATTATAGTACTATTATATTATATTATATCTATATAACTATTTATATAAATTTACATGTCGAGATTTAAATTTTATATAAATTTAATGTCGAGATCAACCCCCTTTGTTCGGGTATCGACGAAAATTTCGCAGTTTAAATTGCTACTTGAAAAGGCCCGACGATAATATTATCCTCGCTCGTGATTGCACAGCAACATGGTACGGTTTACTGGGGCAAGGGCAGTCGAAATCACTTGCGACAACTGGACCCCACGAAATTTTTACACGAGCAACTCGTCGCATCATTTTCGGTAACAGCATCGCCTGTATGGGTAGATTCCAGCACCACTAAGGAATGCAAAATATTGGAGGAGATCGTGGGTGGTCCTCAGGTGAGTACATTCGCATTTCGAAACAAATATCGCGCGCTTGTCTCACCGAGGCTGGAAATAATTCAACTAATAAAACGAGTTCCGTTCTCGGTCTCTCTCAATACAATTTCGCGAAAAGTATTTTCTCAAACAGAAACTAAAACGAAACGTTAATCATCCGCGATCACAACTCGGGTTTTCCTTTTATTTCAGGATTCGCTGTACATTATATAATTCGTGCATATTTCAAGCATAATTGTACTCAGAGACCACGTGAGCGTGGCATTAAAATAATGCGAGAGTTAATATTTAGCTGCAGAAAAGGGATCAGAATGATCGGTCTCAGATTTCACGTTTTATAATTATTCAAATATATTATTTGCTTTTCTGGTATGCATCTTGTTTTACAGGATATCATACTCTTCCCTACAAACAAATTTAACATTTAATTTCAATTTTCTTTTTTCCGAATATTTGATTATTGGTAAACGAATATTCTCAATTCCAAACACATACATTATATATTATATATATTATTATATATTTTGTTATTATTATTATATATTATATATTATTTTTATATTATCATATATTATATTATAGATATTTGTTTTACTCTCGAATCAATCAAATTTTCGTTTTTTCATATAATATTAGTACATCTTTGGATAATAGAAATAGAAATTTAAAAAAGAAACAGCTAGGGAAATTTGTCATTTTGTTATAACCTAAATAACTTAAAATTGCATCTATAGAAATTTATAAAATGCAGTAGTATAAATGCACATATGTATATGTACCATACAAGATGTCACAAAATTATGGTTACTTCCGAGAAATGAAGGGTTCCTGAGGTCATTCGAAGCAACTTTCTCCTTAGCGAAAATGCAATCTGCGGCTTTGTTTACGAGTTATTAACGAAAAGCACTGACCAATGAGCGAAGCTGGGCTTCGCGCGCTCGTTGGCTCAGTCGCTTCGCGCCGGCCGAGCTCGCCTCTCATTGGTTACTGCGTTTTCGTTAATAACTCATTAACGATGCCTCAGAGAAAATTTTTATAAAGAAAAAAGTTACTTCGAATGACCTGAGGAACCCCTAATTTCCCGGAAGTACCATAATTTTAGGACACCCTGTATAATGGAAGCCAATTAAAAATTGTGTAAATGTGTTTCTAAAATCTACATGTTTAAAATAAAAAATTGTTTTGAACTCTTGGTTGTTCCAGTGTTAACAACTTTTTACAATAGACAAAATGTATCTACATTTGTCACAGGAATAATTCACACATGTTGAGATTAAACTAGCTATTTCTATTCACATATGCACGTAGACGTATGCAAAATAATTGCACAGTATTTTTCTATTTTTTACAATAATTAATAACAGAATATATACGCTGGTTTGCGTGGCAAAAAATAAATTCGATTATACTATACTATATTATAGATTAAAATTTCATTCTGTAATGGTGATGCATTTTGTAAATGAAAAAAAAAATATGTGTCATTGTTTCAAAGATTTATTCGAATGTGCTGATGTCTTACATTCCATGCATAGCAGCTGCCTTCTTCGATGTCAAGGTTATTTTCAACTTCGATTAGACGGTTCTCGCTAAAATATTTTTTGCCGGAATAAATGGTGAATATAATCGGATTTCAAAGATCGACTTTTCTGTTCATTACATCCGATCAGGAATTTACACGTGCCATTTTTCAGAACGGTTGGAACATATATCTATCTCTATGAATATTCATCGTTGACAAAGAATTAATTTGCGATTCACATTTGTCGCAAGTTTCGTCAATGGATTTCTTTTTTCGCCGGAATCCCCGATCGTATCGGAACGAAACGTTTCTTTTTTTTAGCTTGGCTCGATGGCTGAAGAATGGGGTAAAAAAGAATACCGTTTCGTTATCCGCAAGCTATTTTTGGAACCGTCAGTTTTTAGTCGGACGGAGGCGAACGTTGAGTAACATTTGTCTGATTCTGACCTTCTCGCAATCGATAAAATATTTCATTGATTTTATTGGCCGGGATAGACGATAAAGATGCGCGTAATTGGTGGCTAAAAATGTCATCAGAACATTACGTTCTATTATGTACCACTGCACGAGTAGCGTTCGTACACAACTACAGGGTTATCCAAAATAGACTATAGAAATTTTTTTTTAAATAAAAAACAAACCGTTTTGAATGTTATTGGATTTTTTATTTAATTATTAAATATTATTGTATATCAGTATATATAAATATCTGCGATAGATGATGTCTGTCAAATGACCCCCACGATCACGTTTACAGACATCGACGACGTTTTGGCATATTTGCTCGTTCAATTCACCAATTTCATTTCTGATCTTGTTTTTTAGGTCATGGTTCGTTGGCATAAACTTTGCCTTTCAAATAACCCCAAAGAAAAAAGTTTAATGAGTCTAATTTTATCAAATTTTTTAACCAAATTTCGAATTGTTTGCTCGAATGATCGATTATTACTATTTTTTTTTATTGAACACCACTTTTTAAAATAAACTTGAATAGCACTATCTATCTATCTTTAGTCTATCATTGTAGGTTAGTAAAAAAAGAAAGAAAGATGGCGTTCAACAGATATTCTCATTCAACATCCTAAAAGTACATCTGGTAGTAAGTGTTCAGATGAGCGGATTCACTCGATTATAGCAAGGTCTGTGTTAGATCTAGGAGAAATATTTTAGACAGAATGTTATTCTTGTTGTTAAAGCTGAAATTAGTCGTATATACATTTACAATGTGTTCCTTGTATTCGTGCATTCGTCAATTTTGCGAACTTTTGACATGCTCTATGCGAAATTGACGATATTTAACCCTTTCAATTATTATTTACAGGCTGTCCCAAAATTATGGTAAATTAGGGAAATTAGGGGTTCCTGAGGTCATTTGAAGTAACTTTTCCCTTTACAAAAATTTTCTCCGAGGCATCGTTAACGAGTTATTGACGAAAACGCAGTGACCAATGAGAGGTGAGCTTGGCTGGCGCGAAGCGGCCAAGCCAACGAGCCTCGCGTCAGCCTCATCTCTCATTGGTCACTACGTTTTCGTTAACAATTTATAAACAAAGCTGCGGATTGCATTTTCTCTAAGGAAAAGTATCATAATTTTGAGACACCCTGTATATCAACGTTGCTCAATCTTCTTGTCGTGCGACACCAGACATTCGTTTAGAACGATACCGTACAATTTCAAGAACCTGGCAGACTAAGCAAACTGACTGCACATTACGCAATTAAATAAAATTATACATAATTAACGATAATTTTTACATGTGAATAGTCATGTTCGGTTCATTTCTGCGAAGGACGTTTCAGACATTGAAACGAATTTCATTTTTCATTATCGTGTAAAGGTAAATATCGAAAAATATGCGAGTAACTATTTTAAATAAACAAAACCGTTGAAAAATGATAAAAAAAAGAGTCGCTCGAGTAGCTTGAATCGTATTTATTAAATACTTTTACATGTTCTTCTATTTAGACAAATAATGCAAAATAACGTTATGTCATTCTTTTTTAACACGACCGTTGAGTTCAGAAACGCCGGTCAACATAAGTTAGTAAAGTTAGTAAGTTATTAAGTTACTAAGTAAGTAAAATCCTTATCGCCGGACCGCGGTTTTTTTATGTAAAATAAAAATGATCCGCATTAATCGTAAAGTAATGAAAATTAAATCATTTATTTCTCCCGTTTAATAATTTCAATAGGTTCGAACTAACACAATGATGTTTATCCTTACCCCTACGCAAACGTTTTTACACTTTGAATTTCATCTATTCATTTTTATCACGAATGCATCAAATCCGCAGTTTACATTTTTAACATCCGATTTTTCATTTCTGTTTTAATAAGGGAAAAATTAAAAAGCGTTTAGATGAAATCACATAGAATCCTGTACATTGTATGTACATTGTAATTTAGCGTGTCAAATGTACATTTAAATTTTGTACATTTGACACGCGAGAAAGAAATCTCGCAAATCACAAAGTGTGACTGATTTATAATTAATTAATCATTTAAATAATGAAATTAAATAATGTAAATTGAATTAAATTTACTGTACTTTCATATTTAATTTACTTAACTAATTTAATTTAATGTAAATTAAATAATAAAATTAAATAATAAAATAATTAATCGATTATTCTGATGCGGTGTCGTCGAACGTGGTTGCAGAAATTAGCGGAGATAACGGGATCTCGGGCGTACGAGAGATTCTCAGGACCTCAAATAGGAAAAATAGCACGCAGGAGGCCAGAAGCCTACAGTAACACTGAGGTATATCTACTAAAACACTCCTGGCTTCATTGAAAAAATGAGAACGACAATCGATCGAGGTATTCGAGATATGTGTAGATATGTTGGTTCAGATTTGTATGACTTTTACGTTTTATGTGGCTTCCCGATAATTGATACATTAACACGAGTACTCGAGTCAAATTGTACTATAGGCACGAATAATAATTACCTGTCTGGAATGCGTGATTTACTATCACTGATCGTACTTCGTATATCTACAGGGTGTCCCCAAATTATTGTACAAGCGGGAAAGTCATTTGAAGTAACTTTTTCTTTAGCGAAGATACAATCCGCGGTTTCGTTTACGAGTTATTGACGAAAAACAACTGACCAATGAGAGGCGAGCTCGGCTGACGCGAGGTGGCCGAGTCAATGAGCGGAACAGAGCTTCGCGCACTCATTGGCTGAGCCGCCTCGCGCCAGCCGAGCTCGCCTCTCATTGATCACTATTTTTCGTTAATAACTCGTAAACGAAGCGGCAGATTGCATTTTCGCTAAGGAAATAGTGATTTCAAATGTCTTGAGGAATGTCCTCATTTCCCACTTGTACAATAATTTTGTGACATCCTGTATAAGAGGATGTTACCATTCTCGAGTGTAGAGATCATTAATGTGTATTTGAGTTGTGCCAATTCAATTGTAATTCAATTTCGTAATTCAACTACGTTGTAATTCAATTACATAATTCGAACCTTTCATTCAGTTTACTCGATTGACAATTATTTTACGTACGTGTAATTCAAATATAGTGTAATTCAAATACAGTTCTTCAAATTACAACCCAGAACATGAAAAAGTGTGATATACTTTAATCCGTTTCTTTCGTACACTCATTTTCTGTCTTCCGCGTACTCTTTCTTCACTTATTACCTATTAACTTATTATTCTTTAATTCGTAATTTTAATTAAATTGCATCGCATATTCGTATGTTAATGTAATTTAATTACTTAGTATTTTGTAATTGTGCTCCAATTGTAAATTACGAATTACACTATAATTTAATTGAATAGAATTAAATCTGAATTCAGAATTATATACAATGCGATTGAATTATAATCTAATCCAGCTCATTGAGTTCATTGAGTAACACAATTGTAATTCTGCATGACTCTGCTTAAAGTTAACTCTGCAGTAGTTTATATTAAATCATCCCATAAATAGACAAATGTAATTCCGCTCACATTCATTTGAAATCATTGATGCATTGGGCCACTGATTTCAATGAACGCGTTATCTACCATCTTGCTATATTTATTCTGACGAGTCTGACTCGAGATCAGAGATCTCTGGTACAACCCCTGGCAAAAAGTTTCCGGATATATATGTATACACTAATATACAATTTATAAACAATATTCGCATTTTTCAAGACAAACACGATACTCGCCACTAAATATTACTTTGCACTAGTCCTCCACAGTTCAATTTGCGTGTTCCCTACGCCACTTCAAGCGTTTCTTTTTCTATTCCTTCGCGAGCAAAGGTTATGTTTTTGCCTTTCGAAATGAGGAGCCCATTTCATGTAATCGATTTCTGACAATACAATCACAGACGCTCGAGGTCCAGTGTTCACTTATTTGAGCCGTTTATTTTGAAAGTGACATAAGTCACTTTGTTTTTAAGTCGATATATTTAAGGGTTTGCGTTTTAACACGTTTAAAAATATGGATGCTAACTTTCGAGAAGATTTACTTGTATTTGTTATCTCAGGATACTGATATTTTTCTCAGTATAAATAATTTCGTATAAACATTAAAAAATCACCACTTTTCATTACGGTAAAGTGACTTATGCCACTTTCAAAATAAACGGCTCATTTATTTCGATGTTGCACGAGGACGATCACTTTTACGAGAAAAGCTTGAATCAGAAGTTCGATTACTCTTAACGTCAAATCGTTTGAATACAACTCACACGACGGCATATTGCACACATTCGTCTTACTTATCCATTGACTGTGAAATGTTTTTGTATTTCAGATGCTTCGGCGGTCGAAGCGTTTGTTTACATTTTCGCAGGCGCGGGTTGTGTTTTCGCTTGCTTCCTCCGCTAAAGGCCATGCATAGAGCTTGTTATTTGAGTCATGATCGGAAACTTTTTGCCAGGGGTTTTAGTAATCTGTTAAGTATGGACGCTGTCCCGTTGTTTTAAGATAGAATAAATTCCTGTTCTCTTGTCGTAACGAACGTTGGCGCGCACACACTCCCTAAGAAATTATTATAATCATATAGGTGCTATTCGTTGTAACTGTACAGAAAATGGTATGGTAACGGGTTAGAGTCGAGGCGCAACAGTTAAGAATTTCTGAAAAAGTTATTCGGAAGCGTCGGCATTCATAATCTAACAAATTATTTGGATTTATGTAATATAGCAGCTTCGTCCGATGTTACTATTTAAAAGCAAATTATCGAGTTTATTTTAAGTAAGACTCGGTCATCGAAAAGTCTATTAATAGGATTCCGGTATAAATAAAGTGTTAAGACAGTACATAAATTTATATAAATCCACGCTATATAAGATAATTTCTTCCTTTTACGTACACTATGTATTCGTCATAATTTACTTAAGGTGGCTTTTTTGGCACCGTAGTGTAATTACTATAACTAAGAATTACGAAGCTGGATAAGAATATTCGATGATCGATGCCTATTAACCACTACAAAACTATGAGACAAGTTTCTGTTAAATAGTCACATTAAACAGTGTAGAAAGGGAATTTCGATCGAAATGTTTAATATTAAAAGTGTAATATTAATAATAATAATGAAATCATTCCATTATTTATTTGTAAAAAGTACTGTAAGGAACAAAATTAGATTCTAGTGAAGTGGACGCGATTAATATAATTTATTGAATAGAAACTATTCGCTGATTAAAACTTCAGAAATATAAGCAAAAAATAGTTGCGTCGAGTTTAATTATTTTTAATATAACATGAACATTATTATAAAATATGCAATTGGTCATTGAAAAACTGCAATTTTTCGAGTAGAAGGAGCCATTTAAATGTTTTATTATAAACAGTTAAATGTTATTATAAGCAGTTTAGCGAATAATACAAAGTAAAAACCATTCGAAAAGCTGCAAATTGTTCTAAGAAAAATTTCTAATAGTCAGTCGCAACAAAAAAGCCGATGAAAAATGTTTCATTATCGGCGAGTCTAACGATCGAAATTATTACTTTCATGGTTTAACTCTTTGCGATGTAAGAACGAGTCAGACTCGTGAACAAAATTATATACCGAAGTTGAGATAAGCTCGGGCGCAGGTGGTGAAATAGAAAATATAAGATGTAGTCCGATGAGGGTGTATTGTTCAAAAGTCATACAAAGAAATGTCTATGATAATATTGCTTGAACAACGCGGGCACCTTAATGCCTTCACATGAAATGCGACAACAAGTGTTATTTATGAGATGATTTAAAAATTCTTACTCTACCGAATGTTACTTTTAAGTGACGAAGTCATCTATTTCTAAGAACACACGGACAAGAAATCTACTCTCGAAGAATTATATTTTTACATGGATACGTAGCATTAGTATCTCGTGCTGCTTGGAGCTGAATCACTGAAACTAATTAACAATACGAAATAATACCGTATAGTATGAACAGAAATAATACTAACTTCCTTATTAAATACTAACTCTATTTTTTCTTACGACAATTATGCTGTAACATTCAAGCATATACAGGGTGTCCCAAAAATAATCTCGCAATCCGGAAATGGGAGGTTCCTGAGGTCATTTGAAGTAACTTTTTCCTTAGCGAAAATGCAATCCGCGACTTCGTTTACGAGTTATCAACGAAAAACGGCGACCAATGAGAGGCGAGCACGACTGTTGCCCCGCCCTTGCAATCTCAGATGGCCAGCGTGATGTGGCATTGATCGCAAGGGCGGAGCGCCGGCCGCGCTCGCTCTCCGATTGGTCCGTGTTTTTCCTTAATAACTCGTAAACGAAGCCACGGATCACATTTTCGCTAAGCAAAGAGTTACTTCCAAATGACCTCAGGAATCCCCCATTGCCGGATTACAAGACATTCTTGGGACACCCTGTAGAAAGAATCTTTTAGGACACGGTTCTATATAATTTTTTTTTTGTAAAAACACTGCTACAATGACATTAGAACAGTTTACATAACTATACTGATTTTCATTACTAATCCGCATCCTATGCTATCAAGTACACACTTAATATTTTCTATGTTTAACAAATTTTCCTGTAACTTTCAGAGAATCTCATTAATTAGTAGTTTTCTTGCGTCCTTGTTTCTGGGCGATTTCGCGCCGATCGATTGGTCCGACGGATCTGGAATGAATTTATTGAACATTCACACGAAAGACTGGGATGACGTACTGTTGGAGGTAAATTAACTACATTTCATTATTTTACGCACTACCAATCGGAAGCGTACAATCGTCTATCTATTATAGATAGATATATGAACAAAATTATTTAACGCTAAATATTGAAAAGTAGAACTGTGAACAGTGAAAAATGAAACGAAGATTCATGTGATTTGAACTAAAAATTAGGAAAGAATATTGTTATCGAAAAGAGGGGATTCGATCGTTTAACCGATTATTATCGAGTCCAAAAAATCCTACAATATCAAAACAGTTTATCGTATTAAGAATCTGGATAAAATTAATATTAATTATTATTATTAACAATTAATAATAAAAGAAATGTAAAACCAATAAAAATTAATTTTCAAACCTGATCAAGGATTAGTTTTCTGCCGCACGTAGCCCTATTCATTTGAAAATTGTTGTTTGTTCAGACTTGCGGTCCTGACTTAAGAAAAAAACTCGGCGAACCTGTTTCCACGAGTAACAACATTGGACCGATTTCAAACTATTTCGTAGAGAGATTCAGCTTCGATGAGGCATGCAGGATAATCGCATTCACGGGGGACAATTCTGGCTCTCTGATTGGTAAGTACACATTCGCCAAAGAAAATTCCACAGTTTTCGAACGAGTATATACATATTCCCTATATTTCTTCTGTCGGCGAGCTTCGAATCATCGTGTTTAGTCGCCCGTGAACATTCACGTCAACGTTGACGCGCGTATCCAATAGTAGAACTTTCGCTTCGATGCAAAATGATTAATGATATGCTATAATTTACTGCCAGCGGAAGTCTCGCGCGACTTACCAATCATGTAGTACATTTTTTCTAATAGGTTTTAATGACACATGTAGAAAATGTTTCTAGATCTCGAACGGAAATTAAATTTTATCTTTTCTGTTCGCGTATGCCTCCGGTTGATTAAGTCTGTATTAAACTAGTTATACAGCATTCTTGCTGGTTCCAATTTAATTAGTATACGTTGCATTTACATGTATTTAATTATCCAATCTTGGAGCACATTTGTCAGATATCCAGGTAAAGACAAATTTCGATGGAATTAGAAATGTACTAAGGTAAAGGCACTAGAGTAATTGGCCTCGTATCAGCAGTTAACCATTTTTCAGGAAAACGTGAAAAATAATGTGCTTAGAAGTACCTAGAAATCTTTCGAGTAAGGCGCAATCATCTATCAGTCAGTCCAACTCCGAAACAGATCTACTTGAAATCAATTCTTTATCACCATTCCTCAGTGTATAAATCGCAATAACAAATGCCCGAGATTTTAAGTTCGTATGACCGAATCTTTAATTGCTTAAATCGATAAGGATGATTGCTGAGGTCATTTGAAGTAACTTTTTCCTCGGTGATAATGCAATACGCGGCTTCGTTTACGAGTTATTAACGAAAAACGCTGACCAATGGGAAGCGAGATCGGCTGGCGCCCCGCCTTCGTGACCTCCGCCGCTGCGTCAGACGGCCAGCATGATGCGGCATTGGCCGCAAGGGCGGAGCAGCCGGCCGCGCTCGCTCACCGATTGGTCCATACTGCGAAATTAGATTTTATATACATTTAATTTTTTTCCATTTATAATCGCCATCGAACTTGTAATCTGTCATAGTCGTTGCAAATAAACGATATCAATTTATGTTTCGTTTTACTATGAGTGATCAACTACTAACGAACATGTCGTCGGTTATGTCAAGGTTATGTTTCTGGTGTTGAATGATCTGTTTATTAAAGGAGCAAGCATTTACTATTGCTCGCAGAGAACATTTTTCTCATCTGTCCAACCATCGATGCTTTCATTTTAAGTTTATTTAATAATTTATAGGAATGAGGTTAAACGAAGGAGATATCGCTTGTAGTTTAGGGACAAGCGACACATTATTTCTGTCGTTAAACAAACCGCAAACTGCATTAGAGGGCCATGTATTTTGTAATCCTATAGATGACAATGCTTTTATGGCACTGCTGTGGTAAGTCAAATTTAAGTATTTCCTTATTTATTTATTTATATTTGATATTAACATAACATAAGGAATCTACATACATGTGTTTTATAACTTCCTACTTTCAAGAGATTATTTAACGACTAATCAAATAACGAACAATAAATAAGTGATTAATTGTGCTGAAGAAATAAATACAGCAGGAGAAAGAATGTTTTTAAAGGAAAAGAAAAGACGATCAAAAGACTGACTAGATACGATAAACACGTAAACGATTTTCGAAGATAATATAATTGGAAATTTTTAGTTTTAAAAATGGATCTCTGACGCGTGAAAGAATACGCGACACTGCGGCACAAGGTTCTTGGCAAATTTTTAACGAGTTACTGGAGAGTACTCCTCGCGGTAATTTTGGCAACTTAGGTCTATATTTTGACGCACAAGAAATTTTGCCTTTCATCGTCGGTGACCATAGATTCAATAAAGCCAACGATGAAATATCACGGTACAGCTCGAAAGAAGTCGAAGTAAGAGCTCTGATCGAGGGTCAATTTGTTGCGAAAAGAGCACATGCGGAGGATTTTGGTTTCGTTATTGGTAAGAACGGTACAATGCAAATTAATAATTTCTCAAAGACAGATCTTTGCCCAAACGAACCCCGTTGCTCTAAAAAAAATGTGAAGCATTTCTAGACTGTGAATCTTTATCTATTTGCAATATGTGTAGATTTCTAAAATACGAGAGGACGTATAAATTAAGAAAGTCTAATAGAATTTTTATTTTCTATTTATAACGACGAATAATCATTTAGTCGGCGAAGAAAATTTTTGTTTAATTCTAATTTTTCTAAAAATCGAAGAAATAAGAATTTGAATAAATATTCACAGTCTAGTTATTATGCACCGTCATAAAGTGAATGCATGTACTTGAACGCTCAATTGCAAACCTTAACCTAGTAATTCTTTTGTATAACAATCTCTGTTCAGTGACTTAAGGGAATATTTAAAGCAAAAGCTGCAAACTATCTCGATGTAATAACCGTAATTCTATTATCTATACAGGGTGTCCGAAAGATTCCTCGCAATTCGGGAAGGTGGGGTTCCTGAGGTTATTTAAAGTAACTTTTTCCTTAGCGAAAATGCAATCCGCGGCTTCGTTTACGAATTATTAACCAAAAGACACTGTCCAATAACTGTCTCTTATACACATCTAGATGTGTATAAGAGACAGTTATTGGACAGTGTCTTTTGGTTAATAATTCGTAAACGAAGCCGCGGATTGCATTTTCGCTAAGGAAAAAGTTACTTTCTGTCTCTTATACACATCTAGATGTGTATAAGAGACAGTTATTGGACAGTGTCTTTTGGTTAATAATTCGTAAACGAAGCCGCGGATTGCATTTTCGCTAAGGAAAAAGTTACTTTCTGTCTCTTATACACATCTAGATGTGTATAAGAGACAGAAAGTAACTTTTTCCTTAGCGAAAATGCAATCCGCGGCTTCGTTTACGAATTATTAACCAAAAGACACTGTCCAATAAGAGGCGAGCTCGGCTGGTGCGAGGCGGTCTAGCCAACGAGCGCAGGAAGTCCAGTTCCGCTCATTGGCTCGGCCGTCTCACGCCAGCTGATCTCGCCTGTCATTGGTCACTGTAGTTAGTCACACAGGTACTCGGATTGCGATAGCCTTTGTTCGTGCTAAATAAACGGAACTATTGAAATCACGACAGCAGTTGGAATACTTATCTTTCACCACGAATATATTCAAGCAATTACTAGAAGTTCAATTTTGTTTTTGTCTTTTTTTAAGAATTTGTAAATTTGGTTAAAACACGAATAAAAAATTATACGAATGTTCGACAGTGCAAGAAATTCCAAAAGGTCGTACTAGAATGAAATATATTTCCTTCAGTCATAGAAATTTAAACGAAGCGATAATTTGAGATTGAGACGATATTTGTTCGAGTAGTATTTCGAGAAGGCAACTTCATCGAAAGCTTTAAGAATAGCGTGTTTACCGACGATTTCTAGGTCCGAACACACGTATTATAGCAACAGGAGGCGCTTCGGCAAATAAAGCTATTTTACAAGTACTTTCTGATGTATTCAATTCACCAGTGTACATATCGGTAACAATTTTATATTACAAACTATTGTCGAAACAAGCCATCATCTATATCTTTTTGCGTTATTACATTGTGATTGAAATATATAGGACGTAGCCAATTCAGCTATGATGGGTGCAGCCTATCTGGCAAAGTATGCTCTATTACGAAACGAATGCAACTTCGATGAAATATCACGCTGTTTGCCTGAGCCAACGCTTGCATGCCGTCCTTACGATGATGCAGATTCGGTGAGTTACTTAAAATAAGAGCAAATTGAAGTTTGGCAACTTTAGGGGCTAATAGAATTTATTAAAATCTCTGAAATAATTAATTAATTTATCCTTTGATTTGCGTGTGCGCCAGTTTGACATTCCGTGTACAAATTAATTTTCGAAAAATAAAGATTTCCTTTGGTTTTTGTAAATCCTGTGAACCTCTCGCAGCTCAATTATTGACCCTTTTACTGTCAGGTGACCTTGGCTTTTGTAATGGTGCTGTATATTTCGTAAACCAGATAGTGCATTTCAAAGTGAACTCATTGACCTAAATACTTTGGTCTTTGAAGGTCGTTCAAGGTCATGTGATGCTGTTTAATGTTTACCTTTTTCAATGCGAGTTCGCGTTATGTTTTGGAGCGTTCAGCGAAAATTTAAACAGCTTTAAATGACTTTGAACAACCTTCAAAAAACCGAAGTATTTAGGTCAATGAATTGACTACGAAATGCACTATTTGCTTGCATAAAAAATGTACGATTCCGTTAAAAGAAACAGGATCACTTTGAAATCTCGGAAACATGTTCACCCAGCAAAAAATTTGCGACCATTGCTGGTAAATCGGCCCGCTGGCAGGCAAAGGGTTAAATACGTTTAATATAATATCTAGTCACTTACCTCTGGTTATGTTTCTTTTTAGATATACAGATCTATGGTTGTCCGTTATCGAAGGATAGTGGAACAAATTTTAAAGAAATCAAGTACAAATTAATGTATGTGAACTTGTATACATACACCACGGAATGAGCGATTCTTCCGAGAGGCCTTCATCTTGGATAATACATAGAAGATCGAACATTAATTATGCATTTAATATATGATTTAACTAACGAAGTTTTTTACGAAGTTTTTAAAAGGGATTCTTAGAAGCTGGCTTTTATAATTAGAAATACTGATGTTCCAATCAGTTGTAATATGCTAATCGACGATATTGGAAATATTTATACGTAAAGCTATTGGAAATATTTTTTCGTAAAAATACAAAAGGTGTCTTTAAGAAAAAATTACTAAAAATATCTGTGCTGCAAATATGCAGGCTATATTTTGCGAATGCAGTGTTAATGTCGCATTGTATTTATCTAATTAATTCTAAATCGCTAATGCCTTATACATAAATAAAAGTGCGAGATAAGATTAAGTGCAATTTGTTTCAGAAAAATCTGAGCTGAGCTTATGAAAAAGTACTTTTATAAATATTTATGAATATTATTGTATTTCATTAATTTATTAAATTGTAATTTATTATAATTATAGAATACAGCAAAAAATATAATAAGAAGTGAAATTATTTTAATTAATGGTGTGTTTATTTATATATCTTAAATGATTATAATGGATATTATCAAGCCATAGTATTCCCTCCTAGTATGAGTAGCAGAAGTTAAATTAATTTTTAGTGCTGTGTTTGGTTTTACTTCTTTCTACCACCTCTTTCCTTCGGTAGAAGATTTATTATATTACCAGATGTTAAGTTGTAATATGCAAGAGTATTGCTGTCTTTGAAAAACATTCCCTAAAAAAAAGATAATTATTAATTAATACAATAAGACAGATAAAGCTCTAAAAATATATGTTAATATTAAATCGAATGAATAGGATTAAAATGACTTCGAGACGTGCATCTAATGGTGACAACAAAATTTTGCGGAGATCATTTTGATGGATTTTTTTAAATCACCATATTTTTTATAATTAGTTATAAAGACGAGTGTAATGACCTAATATATCATGGTCCAGAAATAACCCTAAAAGTACACAAATTTTGAGCATGCATCAGCATTTAGATATATTAGATCATTGAATTTGCCTTGACACCGATTATAATGTTGTGATACACAAAAGCGAAAAAGACCATCAAAATTTTTGTCATCGTAAGATGCAGGTAAAATTAATATCTTATATTATTATATATATATCGTCTTACCTCATACTGCAACTTTTGTTTACCAGGAGGCATACCAGTTTGTTCATGTATAAGAGCCTTCATTGTCGCCACAGTGTCGCTCACTTGCAAAGTGATGTTTAATGTCTGTCCATTCAACTTCCATTCCGCTTTCTCTGTCATCATTGGTACAGCTATATTCATCTGTACAGGGCCCTGTAATATCGAAACATACAATTTTAGAGTACGTTTGTAAACAGATTCTAATGTAGTGTTTTTTAATAAACTATAAGAGTACCTTATTTCTAGCCAAGAATTGCTGTTCAGGTATCAAAGAATCTTCTGTTCTCAGTTTCTTGGTTTGTGGCTCTTCTTCCATAGCCTCGGAAGGATGTTTCAATCCCATCTGAAAGATTACGAAACATGATAATTTGTATGTAATAGTCAATTAGAATTTTACAATAGAAACACTTACAGCGGATGCCATTGGTGGTTGCATTGGTGGAGGAGTTGGCATAAATGGTGACATTGCAGGTGCTAGAAACATGAAAGAGAAGTCAGATATTTAATATGAAATGAAATATTTTTCACTGTTTAAACGTAGAATTTCAAATGGAATCTGTATTAAGGCTTTATAATTTTGTTTAAAAAATTTTATGGTAACGCTTCAAACCCCAAAACATGTTAGTAAATATCGCAAAACTAAAGTAGAACTAAATTTATAATTAGAAATTTCATTTACTCATAAGTGGCGGTGGTCGTATAGGTGGCATCGGGGCCATCATCATCATTGGGGCTTGTGGCATCATCGGTTGAGGAATACCCATAGTCGGCATACTCATTGTTGGCGGTGGTGGCGGTTGCGTTGGAACTGGTACCGGTTTCGGTGCTGGCGGTTTGGGTGGTGCCTTCAACGTAGCCTGAGGTTTCGAAGCAGCTGCTGCCATATGTGATAATTCTGCTGCACGATTAGCGGGTTTTGGCCCGATTTTCTCTTTCTCTTCGTCAGGAAGAAGTCCTTTAACTTTATGTATTTGATGGATTTGATCCTCCAGAGTAATATTTGCTCTAGCAGCTCTAGTTGCTGCTTCGACGCTCGATGTATGTCCATCCCATGTAACCTTATCATCCTTCTTCTTGTCTTCTTCTCCAATTTTCTTACCGATCGCAGTTTCTTCGTCACCGACACCGAAGATATCGGTACGTCTTTCGGCGAGCTGTTTCAAACTAGCTTCAATCGCAGTACCAGGAGCAAATACTGTTTCTTGTGCCAACTTATCGAGATGTTTATCGCGTTGTTCCACCCACCGTGGATCCAATAATCCAATACGCATATGTTCTTGAACTTTACTTGCTGGTATACGTTCTCCAGTAATCGGAGATATCAGGTATTCGTCAGGAGCGACAGGGCGTGTAGTTTTGCTTGCTATAGGAATTAACATGTTTATTATTTAGTTGAAATTATAATACCTATATTGTGTTTGTTACCTATTACTCACCATGTTGCTTAGGATCATAGCCTTTCTTTACCACAACATTTCCTGGAGTAGGAGGTAATGGCGGAGGTTGCATATTATTGCTGTCGCGTGGTTTAGATTCTTTAGATTTATGAGTATCTCCTGGTGGTGATACGTCATCTTCATCGCTCGAATCTTCTTCCATATCTTGTACCTTAAAATGTTAATGGTAATGACGATAAATTGTTACCAGTTTTTCTATACGAACAAAACATTATATTTACTTGATTATTATCCTTCGCACGATCTTTTTCACCTTCCGTACGATTTTGCATTTCATCCTCTCCTTCACTGTCAATCTGCATTTCTACATCCTCGCCTTCTTCTATCCTTTCCTAAAAGATTTAAGAAAACATTAATACAATAAGATTGTGCAAGAAGTGCCATTTATTAAGACACAATCAAATTTTATCACCTGCATGAGTACTCGAGCACCGACTTCATCTGGTGTTGTTGGTGCTGGGAAATTGCCAACTTCAAACTGCTGATAATCAACAGTTTCTACTACAACAAAATCATGCCAATCGATTTGAGCATAAGCAACTCTTTCACGTTCTAACTCCTCTTCTTCCTTACGTCTCTGAGCTTCTTGGTACTTTAACCATTCAGCACGATATTTAACCTGTTCTAATATTTTATCCATATTTGCTGCTTCATCGCGAAGACGTGGTAGTAAATCTTTAGGTGGAATTAATACCTATAAATTAAGAATTGTTTAAAGAAATACTTAAAGAATATATAAATATTATTAAAATTATTAAAATTATTATATTAAATATTATTATTATTATCTTACCTTTGTATATTGTTCCAAGAGTTTAGTAAAATATTGGAACAGAGAATGTTGTGGTCGCAAAAAGTCAAATTGAAAGTTTCTTTGTTCTCGATTCATTAAGTTAGTAAGAAATTGACGACCATTACGAGCTACAAATTGTGCTGTCAGTTTTACAATATCTCTAAAATAAGGAAGCAAAATATTCAAATTGTATAGTTTAGTACTATTTGACCATGCAGCAAATAAATAATCAAATAACTTACAAATCTAAAGCTGAAATTGAAGGTGGATCGGCAATAAATTCGAATTCAGTAGGAGGATCTTTTGGAACAAATGGTTGTTCTACTTGTTTTAAAATCTCTTGCTGCTTTTGATGAGCTGTAAGATTGACAGTTTTTCCAAGTCCTTGTCCTATAGCTGGTTCTTGACCCTTTCCTTCTTTAAATTCTTTTACTTTGTGCTGATAATATGCATGATATGGATCGCCAAAATTCAAGAAGTTAAACTTTGGATTTCCAAGTTCATTTTGTCTGATTCTTGACTCAAATTCTGGCCCATTCCTAGCCACAAAGCTGGCTGTCTTATCAACAATATCTAAATTATTACATAAGGAAGATCACATGAATAACAACATATAAACCAGGCCTGAATAAGTTGTGACTCTTAAGTCACGTGAGGCTGTTTCCCCCTCTATGTAATTAATTAATTTATTGAATTAAGAAATGTATTCAATCATTTCCTATGAAAGAATTTTTATGATTTCAGCAAGATATTATTTATTTAGACTGATGCAATAAAATAATAAAATGCAACTATCAACTGTGCCTAGAAAACAACCAATAAGTATAATTTTATAGGAAATTCTTTAATGCAAACACTGTAAGATATCACAGATTGCATATTATTTGTTGTTGTATTATATAAAAACAATTACCATATAAAGATCATATGGTTTCAGTAAAACTATGTACATTATATTTAATTAATTATATATATATATTATATTAATTATAATTAATTATAATTGAATATATTTTTTAATGGAAATTATATCACGATTAAAAATTTTGTTAATAAGTTGTCTGAAAATAAAGGTTGTATTAATATTACTTATGTACGAGAATTTATGAAAGGATACTTCTAACCTCCGGTGGAGGGTAAATAATTCCTACGATCGGTTGTGATGAGGGTGCATTATTTTCTTCACCCTCAGTAACTGGTAGTTGCACTACTGCGACTTCCTGAGCCGGCATGATCAGTACTCTTTTATCTGCTTAATTTTTACACTATTCCCCTTTATATTTTTTAATTCATCGTGCATAAAAAAACTCGCGGAAATATCACAATCATAATCATAAAAGGATGAAGCATAGAGTCTAAACAGTCTTAGAGCACGGGCAGTGGGCAGTGTTGTAAGATTTGAAGAAATTCTATCTCAGCGCCGTCGACGGTGGAGTGATGAACTTTTGGTAACTTGGTAACTTAGTAATTTAGTAACTTCGTAGACTATATTAGTAATGCTGAATCGAAGACAGGAGTGCAAGAATTATCATTGCTATGCGTACGCCTTATTTCACGACCCGTATCAATACTATCAATCCATATTTGCGTGGCTCAACGCTTCGGATCATCTCGGTTGACTTGACACTTGAAACGCACTCCGAACTGCGACGCACAATGGTCGGTTTCCATATAAATCTGTAAAAAAATTTCCGTACAAACATATAACTAAAATTATATATTTAAGCCTTACTTTGTAATTTTATATTACTAGTATATATGTATATTTGGGTTTTTGTTGAGGTAGAATAATGAAAACAAAATGCAGTGTTTTAATTGCTTATAAACAAATTTTTTTAAAATACAATTTTTATTTTCGATTCGATTCAATTAAATTGGACATCCTCTCCATTTTCATGTTGCGAACATTGTTCCGAAACTAGTAGTTCGACTGTTTGTTTAAAAAATGCTTTCGATTTCTTGATCATATCATTCTTTTCCTTATACTCGATGAGAAGGGATCGGATGCGAACAAAAGTCTGCATATAATAAAAAAAAAAAAATTTACAATTATCCTCATTAGTTTCAATGAAGTGCGAACAGTTGAAATATTGACATTTTACTAAACTTATTCAAAATATCCCGCGTAACTCGGTAGCCCATGAGTATCACGGTATACTTTGTGATACGTGCCACATTTTAACATTATTATTAAATGATTTCTCCGATAGCAGCTAATAGCGACCAATTTTTATTTTGTTATTAATGTAAGGCATCGATCTTCAAAATGCGAGCAAAGCGAACACCGAACTCGATCGAATTCATAATTAAAAAATGAAATGAAAATTCAAGATACTCGATTGAACATAACTCAAAAAATGTGAGAAATAAAAAACGTGTCCTGTGACATAATTTGCAGTTGTACAATACAATTAACAAAAGTAAAATTTGTGAAGAACGCAATAAAAATAGGTCAAACGTTCGCAGATTAACAGCAAAAAGTGAACTGTGTCATATGCGGAATCCGCGAGCGATANTCCATTTTCATGTTGCGAACATTGTTCCGAAACTAGTAGTTCGACTGTTTGTTTAAAAAATGCTTTCGATTTCTTGATCATATCATTCTTTTCCTTATACTCGATGAGAAGGGATCGGATGCGAACAAAAGTCTGCATATAATAAAAAAAAAAAATTTACAATTATCCTCATTAGTTTCAATGAAGTGCGAACAGTTGAAATATTGACATTTTACTAAACTTATTCAAAATATCCCGCGTAACTCGGTAGCCCATGAGTATCACGGTATACTTTGTGATACGTGCCACATTTTAACATTATTATTAAATGATTTCTCCGATAGCAGCTAATAGCGACCAATTTTTATTTTGTTATTAATGTAAGGCATCGATCTTCAAAATGCGAGCAAAGCGAACACCGAACTCGATCGAATTCATAATTAAAAAATGAAATGAAAATTCAAGATACTCGATTGAACATAACTCAAAAAATGTGAGAAATAAAAAACGTGTCCTGTGACATAATTTGCAGTTGTACAATACAATTAACAAAAGTAAAATTTGTGAAGAACGCAATAAAAATAGGTCAAACGTTCGCAGATTAACAGCAAAAAGTGAACTGTGTCATATGCGGAATCCGCGAGCGATAATAAAAGAAAGTCGCAGCTCGCGGAATACAGTAACAAGTCTTACTCCTGCACAACTCAAGGCCGCAGCTTGATCCGTTAACGGGAGTCGATATAGAAATTTTCTTTGCTCTAATTAGCTAAACAATTCATTGCTGAGAGGATCTACTGCGGATTGGATGCGCATTAAAATGGTGGGGATGTGCACGCCTGCTTGGGGAGTAAGAAAAGCGTACAGAAATAGATCTCATTGCTGCATATATACCGCACTCAGTGATAGAATACGATCGTCATACGCGGAATATTCCGTTTACGGATGCAAATGGTTAAAAATTACGCACTGAGAAGTGCGCTACTTCAGCAGTGGCAGATATTGCCTCCAGGTATACATATATCCTCTAAGTTACTTATTAAATATGTATACATATAAGTAGTAAATGAATGTATTCATAAAATTGTACAATATTTACAATTCAAAAAGGTTAGCTTTCAGGTTAAAAATTATTTTGCAATTAAAAAATGTAAAAGTATAAGAACAAGTATAGAACAACTATATTGCATTTGAACTATATTGGTTTTATTTAATCACAAAATATCCACCAAAATTATGTAGATATATTCTGCTCTCGCAAAAAAAAATGTAGAACACATAATGTTCAACTCATTTGAACACTCTTTTTTGGTCGTTCTCCAAAAATTGCACTACCCACTCTGACATTTGTACTGCCCAACTCCACCTAAAGAAGTTAATTTTCATTTTCTTATCTATCCATTATTCATATATAATGATATAAAATTGTTATGAAAATTACCGCTTGCTCATAATCATTTGACATTCCCATAGATAACTCAATTTTTGTTAGATTAATTCCTAGTTCTTTGGAAAGATTATATCTACATTCTTTCAACTGCAGAAAATCAGGATTTGGTCCTTCAGCTGTATCATATCCAAACATTCCTATTGTCATAAGTCCCATAAATTCTAAATTTTTGCAATTAACTCTAATATATTTCACAAGAGAACAAACTTCCGAAATTTGACAACCACTTTTTCCTATAAGTTTTATAACAATTAAAACCACAAAAACTGAAATATAAGTTAAATAAATATGATACTACAAAAATATAATATTAAATACCTTCTTCTTTACTTGTATTAACTTGTACCATCACTTTTAATTTTAATTCATCCTGTTTTCTAAACTTGGGCCATGAAGCATCCAACGCTGATGAAAGTTTTTCATTATCTACTGTTTCAATCACATATAAATTTGGTACGCTTAATAATTTATTTACTTTATTTCGTTGTAAATGACCAATAAAGTGCCAATGTATATCACTACATTTTGCTAAAATATCTGGGTGATGTCCTTTTTCTACTAGCTCATTTACATAATTTTCACCAAAATGTTTTTGACCAGCTTCATATGCAGCTAGAATCAAATTATGAGACTGTAATTTACTCACTGCAACCAGACGTGGTTCAAAATTGTTATATTCCTATAAAAACAAGCTCTCTATTATTTATAATATATAAGACTGTATTTTTACTTATTAAAATATTGCACTGTACTTAAA